GTCGTGAGTGACGGCAATATCAGGGGAAGACGCCAACTCCTTGGCATTCGCAGCTGCACGCTCATGCTGCTGGTGGCAACAACTCTACTGGCCTTTGCTAGTACCTTGGTGTGCTTCTGGTATGGAGAGACATTCATGGGTGCAGGCATATTCATGACAGTGCAGAATTTCACAAGGGATGCCCACGTCCTATCCATGTCATTGCAGTAGCCGGCTTTCTGTTCACATCCCAGCAGTGCCCAGTCTTCTTGGACATAGCTTCACGGCTTTCAGCCTCGCAGCTGTCACAGGCCAGCGATAGAGTTGAAGCCAATCCTTCACGACGTACTTCACATAGTGTAAGGGTGCCATGGCACGCTGAGCAACAGGCACTATCAGCAAGTAAATTTTGTAAACATTCTAAATAAATAATTCGGCTCCCGGTCGTCAGGTAATCATCACCGTCGCGCTCATCTCCAGAGCTGTCGCTGTCACTGTCACTAGATGTCACCAGAATTAGACTGTTGGACTTCGGCATCATCCCTATCTTCTGGCAACACAGAAGAGTCCTCTGCCACGACAATTTTCGTAATTTCACTCTACAATTTTATAAATTATTTAGCACATTGATTTCCATGGAATTTGCGCTTCTTTGGACGACCAGGACGGCCTACGTACTGCCTCTTGCCCATAGTGATCAAGGAAGGTTCCACAAAACAGATGAAAGCCAACAAAGCAGCTAAACTGATAAAGAGCTACAGTTTGGAGATTGGAGATTGCTGGTATAAAAATATTTACCAAAAATTTGAAGTACGACATGCGCACTGTGTGTGGTGACATGCGCAGTGGCACTGCTGATGCCGATGGTGATGTCAGCTCTGCGTGGGGCGCAGCAAGGTAAAACCAGGGAGATTTTCAGCCTTTCCGCGAAGTTTCATCGCTAAAATGCCAGCGAAATCAAAGTTAAACACAAAACATGTGTAATGTAAATTCTAATGCGTTAAAATTTGAATTTTTGAATTTACAATTACTATTTTTGACAATAGCGGCCTTTGAAAGTCCATATCTCAAAAACTACTGAAGCAATTCACTTCAAATTTTCGGGATGTGCGGTTGGGACCTACCCAGAGGGTCTGGAAGCGAAAATGGGGTCAAAATCCAAAATTCGATTTTTGACCCTCTGAAAGGTGCCGGAAAGGTGTAGCGCCACCTTAACTTGCGATGAAAAATGAATAAATACATACAATGTAATAGACTCGGGTGGAGAGCCAAGGATTATTTTCACTCACATAGCAACCGGGTTGTACTTCTATGGGGTAGTGGTCTACCAGAGAATGTACTCACGATAATGTAATATACCTAGACTCGGGTGGAGAGCCAAGGATTAGTTTATAAGAAGAAAAGAGGACCAAAGAGCTACATGTACATGTAGGGACCGGCGGGTTCTGCTCGAAAAGCAGTGAAATTGCCAGAACCATACAAACCTTATGGCGGGCAATTCCTCGAATTCTGCTCCATTTCTTTTATCCACATACCAAACATGCATGAAACTTACCAGAAAAAGTACCGAATTCTGCCAATTTTTCTGCCGGCAGAATCCGCCGGACCCTAGCTACATGTACATGTACATGTATAAGGCTCAGGTTCGGAAAGGTCCAAGAGGGGAAGGGAAGCGCAACGAAGAAGAGCACCAGCTACGCCCCATAGCAACAAAGAATGCCATAAGTTATTGGATGATGACGAAACTAGTCAGCCTATTGGACATACCGGCCTTACTACAACTCGACGACGCAAAGCAACAGACCACCCAACTTGGGAGGCGGAACGTACGTCGTGTGGAACTACTTGTTATTGTACATAACTAGTCCATCATATTTACATGATAGTGGAGTTCAGTAGGATGTTGACGTTTCGGTTTGTCACAATTCGTCTTCGCTAAGCTTCCCCTTTCTATGTTTATTACATAAACTTGAGCCTCCCAAGTTGGGTGGTCTGTTGCTTTGCGTCGTCGAGTTGTAGCAAGGCCGGTATGTCCAATAGCCTTACTAGTTTCGTCATCATTCAGTAACTTTCAGCATTCTTTGTTGCCGTGGGCGTAGCTCGTGCTCCTCTTCGTTGCGCTTTCCTTCCCCTCAAAGAGCTATAAGTTACGCTATAATATCCTCTAACACCAACAATTACTTTACAATCAGCTCATGCGATAACATCGTTCGTTGTAGAACGTCAGTACTGTTGGTCAGTGTCGTGTAATGATAATGTTATCACATGAGCTGATTGTCCAGTTACAGGTGGTGTTAGTGGACATTATAGGGTAACTTGTAGCTCTTTGGTCCTTTTGTCTTCTTTTAAATGTGAGAGGTCCAGTGCCACACTGTGCTGTAGTTCAGACGTACATGTACGTGTAGCTATAAGGTATGGGGAAAAAGTTGCCAAGTGGGATGGTCAGTTGGCCAATAATTGCACTGAACTCAAGATTCACGGTTAATGACACAGTTTGAGTGATGAACCGGATAACTCAATTTTAACAACCAGCAATTAGCACAAATGTGTCAATTCAGCATTCCTGTTGTGGTTATAAACGCTCCTGTCTATTTTCTGGTCGGCTTCAAGAGGTTCCGGTCATTTCTTTACTACAATTATAATACGATGCTGCATTGCCTTTTAAAAGTGCTTCACAGCAGTCAGCTCACAGAACGGCCCTGCATTTTGTATGGAGATGTATGATTGTCCCCTCTACCAGCCCTAGAACTCGCAGCGAGCACGGTAGTGTCAGTGGCCATGACCACTGGTGTGATATTGTATCGTGGAACATAAAAACCACCAGCTCCTACACCAGCTGCCTGCATCTGCCCCGCTGGCACTGAAGCGCTCGTTCCCACATTGCAGCATCAGCGATTGGAACTCCCTCCCTGCCGCTCTTCTTTCCCAGCCTCCCTACAGCAAGAGTATGCAATCGTTTCCCCCGTTAGGCGTCAGCCTTTGGGTAATCCTGAAATAAAGATTATTATCACATGTCACGTGAGTGTTTCCTAGGATCGGGCCAATCACTGATCTGTATGAGCGGGCAATAAATCAGTCCAACGCCCGCGTCCAAAGCCCGTCGTCAGTGACAACCCTGACTGAGACTGTACGCGTGAAATCAAGAGTTCATGTACTCTTGGTGAAATCTACGGGATGTGAACATGGTGGGCATGGTGACTGTACGGCGCAGTGTGACATGTGAATGCGTGGTCGAAAGTGGCGATCTCAGCTTTCCTCGCGTGACTACGACGACTCTGTAGAATGTACGACTCTACGACGAGTCGCAGTGTAGCATTGAGACGAAGATGGAATTCTTTTTGGAGATGGACATCCCGGCAATGGACATGCCCTCGGACGTCTGCCGTGTGGTGCTTGCAGGGATCATTTGTTCAGTCATGTTGGCAGCCTGACCGTCGGTAAGCTTTTGGATAAGATTCAGTTCTGCTCGAAGTGGTACTGTGATCACAAACAATTATTTGAAATAACACAAATTCAACTCAGCGTCGTGCGTTTTCAGATCCTCGCAAAGTCACTGCCTGTGTGTGGTCTTCATGTACCACGCAAAACTCTTACCAGGCTCATCTGTCCTCTGCCTTCACCTTTGCTTGAACAACAAACACAACAATTCAGGAATGTTTTGCAATGAAAAATACAGCTACCTGGAGCTGAAAAAAGAAGAAGAAAAATTGTCCTCAGAATTACACACCAGGAAGTCGTCAAATACTTGCACTTGTTGCAGTACTGTATTTGACAACTTCCTGATACACATGTAAACATGAAGAAAGTCTTTGTGGTAGCACTCTTAATTTTTCAACTGAAATTATGATTCTGCTGTATTTATTGTCGATGCCATGTCTATTGCTATGACGATGCGGTGCCGGCACTTTTTCTGTCTCCGTCTTTCAGTACTGTATACTCTCTGATGGCCTGTAGCAGACTTTTTGTTAGGGTGTAGGAGAAATATCTTCATTATTCCTGTTTTGATAATGATAGCACATCAATATACATTGTGGTCATAATGTGTTGGCATTTGGGCTAATTTCAACAGCAGCCCAATGGTCTGCTCTGTGGGCCATGTGATAAATTTGTTATCACATGGTTGCTGCGGGCCTTATGGCATATTATTGCCCCTCGAGGTTAGCCCTCGGGCCTACGGCCCTCGGGCTAACCTCTCAGGGCAATAATAATATGCCATAAGGCCCTTGCAACCATGCGATAACATATACTTATTATTATTATTATTATTGAAAACGAACGTTTATCGCAGCACAAACTGGCTCTGGGCAGTCGACCGCTATGATAGTTTCTCCCGCACACTCGCTGGTGTTAGCCTTGCTTTTTATCATTTTTCTGACCTGTACAGCTCTATCTTTTTTCTTTTTCTCGGTGGGTGTTTTTGGCCGTGATGCCGAGACCTCAGGTTGGCAGAACCATCAATACCCACCATTACTGCCGCGTCTTGGTGCAGCGCCTGCTCCTTAGTTATCACGTCTGTCCGAGTCTCCCTACCATTGTCTTTCATTATTCTTTTCGAGCTGGGTGTATGAACATAGTAAAAAAGGTGCACATTTGGTGTCTTTGAACGCCACAGTAATGCTGTCCATAACAGCGAAGCGAGGCATACATGTACATGTGCATGCATGTAATGCAGGATGGCGGTTCCTCGTAGACGTGTGACTCCATGAACAACTGTAAATGAAACTAGCTGACCATGACTAATGAAGATGAGCGACACTTACTTAGCACAGGCCTCCCGAACAGATGGATTATCGCAAGCTTTGATGGATTTATCACGATGACTATCGAGGAAGTAACGTTCGACCCTCAATGCCTTGGCGCTGAACGAGCTGGAGACAAGCAGAGCTGCAGACAGGCTGTTTTCATCTGTTAGTGCCAGGAAAGTAATCGGTGATATTCGCGGATCTCTCCATGGTGCAGGCAGTGTAAAGTGCTGGTACTGTGGTAGTGTACGCTGCTAGTTCTGCCGCTGCTCGTACCGCGAGAATTTGTGGTCTTCCAGAGCTCCGTGTGCTGCAGTGCAAGAATAGGTACATGTACATGTATGTACATGTATGTATGTAGTTGGCCTTCGTGGAACAGGCAGGTCCTGAGGGAAGCAAGCTAGAAAACACTTTCGACTTACCAGCGTTGGACAAAACATACGAAGTCTGAAAGGCTCAAGCAGAATCGTTGGTGGGTGTCGGTGCTCCGCGCATCGCTACCCTCTCCTGCAGCGTATACGGGTGCAAAAGGCCGGATAGTGAAATGATGATGGCGCACCTGCGAATCCAGTGGCCACTGAAGGTTACCATGGTGCCGCTGTTGTTGGTGGTTGTCCTGCTGCAAATACCTCAGTGGTCCGGTGCAGCAGAAGTCGAGATGCTCAAGAGGTCACAAGCAACAACACCAGTGCAAGGTGAGTTCGGTTTTTGGTAATTTTAAGTTCACTGATCAGCTGACAAACGTTCGTAATATAAAAGTGGAAGGTATGCGCTGAGCAGCTGAAAACCTTGGATGGAGACCATTACATACCAGGGGAGAATGGCAAGCCTGAGGGAACCTGGCATGCGTGCTGACGAGATCGACATTGAACAAATTGATCATACCTTATACCTCCTCTTCCTCCCCCCCCCCCCCCCCGCCCCACATCAACACCCCCCCCCCCCCCGCGTCCTGATTCAAGTGGCATTGGGAAGTAAAAACTTCAACTTAAAGGTACTTGAAGTGTCCCTTGCTTTAGCCAGTTTAGGCCATCCGTTATTAATGTCAGACCGAACCTTTTGTCTCATCAAAGGGTAAAGATTTATATAATTGTAATTTTCAAGTAAATTAGTGGAGAATAGAAATTTATCTGGTCAGTAGATTGATATCACTGTCTTTGGTGTATTCCTCGACTGTTGCCTTTACGTTTCAACAAGCTAAGGATCAGTACTCAGGTACTGGGTAGTAGATGAATGTGCCAGTCACGGTTGATGAAGCAGTGCTGAACTGCTCACCTGTGTGTGCGTGTGTGTGTGTGTGTGTGTGTGTGTGTGTGTGTGTGTGTGTGTGTGTGTGTGTGTAAGAGGAGATGTTTCCGATGATAAGCCAGATCCAAAGCTGCTGCAGATGGCTCTCTCGAACATGGTCCCTCTCGTCGTTCTATATTGTCGGCCCCGTAAGGGGACACGTGACCGTAATGGCAGTGTTTACCAGGACCAGGACCAGGTGTGTGTGTGTGTGTGTGTGTGTGTGTGTGTGTGTGTGTGTGCGTGCGTGTGTGTCTGTGTGTGGGCGTGCGTGTGTGTGCACTTCCGATGTGTATCTGTGCTTCCTGTGTGTCGCACCACAATAAAAAGTTCCCTGAACAGCATCTGCTGGCATGGAACGAGGCTGACACCTTCTTTGGCCTTGCGGCGTTGTTGTCATATCCTTGTACATGATTGTATTGTACACTGCAACAACACGATGCCCAGTAGACTTGTCTTCTTTGTACAAAATGTGGCAATACGAATGCTGGTTTTCACCTGCCTCAATACTACAATAGAACGCCGTCTAGAATATTTGGAGAACCCAGTCTAGGATCCACACGTACATGTACATGTGGATCTACATGACTGTACATGTGCATCTAAATGACTGTACATGACTGTATATAGACATGCACATGTAGATGATTGTACTTGGTACATGTACATGTACTTCAAAGTACTTCAAAGTATGTTCTGTCCAGAATGGACTACTAGTAGGTCTACTAGGGTACGTGTGGAGGAGAGACTGGATGCTCCCTCCGCCCATTCTCGATTAGATACATGCACTGTACATGCAGTTCTACATGTACAGTGCATGTATCCGTTCCTGCCATGACAAGTATCTGTCATGACAAGTATCAGAGCGAGGACTACAATAGAAATATCACTGTAAATTTAAAAGTGTTCCCCATCTGGCTGTCTGCTGCACACTAGTGTTGTACTAGCGCTTCTTTCTTTTCGTCCGTTTATACAGATACTGTATAAAGGAACAAAGAACTTTATTGAAAAATCAGTACGGAAGAATGAATGGAAGTCTTCAAGAATCCAAAGCAATGTTGAGCCTGAAGCCACCAGACCAAGTTCAGTGCAATAACATGGACACAGTGTATAACAATACCAAACTTGCACATGCGTACAAGCCCCGGGAGGGAGGGGGGGGGGGGTGCAAGAGAGGGCCAAATCGCGCGAGTACAGCCCTACGTATACAATGTATACGTAGGGATGCCTGGTGATACTAGACTACCTAGTACAAATTTTCGTTCACGAAATCCTTCGCTTGTACTTGTAGATCACTTGCACCGGGCCGTACCGGCAGGTTCGTTACCATGGTTACGTAGACGAAATCCTTCGTTTGTAGTTGTACTTGTACAGTCATGTACTTGTACTTGTAGATCACTCCACCAGCAGGTTCGTTACCATGGTTATACGTAGATTCTCTACTTTCGTTTTTGCCTGGTCTGTCACCGCGTAGATCTACCGCCAGTACCGGTGCACCCCGAACGTTCAGAAAAAACTTAGTTTGGTACAAACTTTAGGGTTCACGGATTGGCATGCTAGCGTCGCCAGCTACATCATGCACGTGACAGGCGCGTGCATATACTGTCCCACACAATCGGTCAGTGCTCAAATCGCATTTTCCCATCAATATCACTCACTTTCAACTCTACGGGATTCATTACGGTTGGCTCAAACTGCCTGAATTTTTGAATCCACACGCACGAAAGACGTTCCAAGACTTCCACCGTTCGTATTTTTTCAAACGAGTTCCGGGTTTTCCAGTAACTTTGGCCAAAGTTCGGCTAAAAAAACAGGGGGAGCCGTTGCGTTTCCGTAAAATACTGAACGGTAGAAGGATAGCCAAGGTCGAGAGCAAAACAACAAGCCATTATTTGTCAAAATCGAACAAGAAACGGCTCAGCGCATCTATTTTCCGTGCACGCGCGCGCGTACTTTGGCCGACAAGGCGTGGAGAATTTCTGAAGAAGAAGAATAACAAGAGCAGCAGCGCTCGGAACAGCCGTGCTGGATACTTCCAATCCCGACGATGGAGCGTGTTGGCTGTCGTGAGCTGCTGAAACGACCATGACATTTCTTTTTCTTTGTATACCCTAGATATCTTGACGTGCCCTAGCTCAGTTTCGGCCTCTTTACAGGAAGAATATTTTCTTCCATGGCATCAGCGGCCAAACAGCAAGAAGAGCAACAGATCGAGATTTGCAGGGCAAACAAAGGATGCGTGCAGCTACATCTAGTCAGGTTCGATGCAGCTGCGCTTTGCCAGAACCTCAGCAGATAAGAAAAGACGACAGAGTGTCTCAGATGGAGCTGGATCTTTCGCCAAGACCGCCACCGCCGCCATCATCAAGTCCAGGTCAGTCAGAAAAATGCACTTGAAGCCCGAGTGAAGTGAAGCCACTGAAGCCAAGGAAAAATTCAAAAAGTACGCTCTCCGGCTAGACTTCGAGTCGATATTTTTTTACTTCGATAGGCCCTGTCGCGGCCTGTACTGCTGTAGCGCGCGTCCATAATCCAAAATGGAGGCGCACGTGACGGGTGCTTTTAGTGGCAAGCCGTGAACCCTAAACTTTAGTTATTTCGTGCCAAAATAGCGAAAGTCCAAATGAAACTAATTACTTTGTACATACAGTAGTAGCAATAGGTCAAGGCAGCCATGAACCCTGAGCTCTGAAGTATTTTATGGTGAACGTCCCGCGGACAATGGATCGACGTTTGTTTGGAGAGGATGCCGGTGTTCATGGCGACGTGGACGACGGGCAGCTGATCCCCCTCGTGCTTCTCCCTTTGCTGTTACTGGTCCCGGTCGGGTGTCATAAATTATTACTGTATCTTCACGTCATTCGTTAGCTGTACCGCTCGTCTAACGGGCGCGCCTGCCATGAAACGGTCGTACTAGTAGGGTCTGAGAATCGGGCAGGGAGATGTCGGCCACCTTGCTGCTTGCCGTCAACTGCCAGCGAGGACAAGCTAGCGTGCAAGCATGACTAGTACAGTCATGCTACGTTTATCAGCAACGTGACTGAGGACGTCGCTTCATACTCAATGCGGTGAGACGTCAAAAGGAGAAATTAATTATGTCAGTTTTAATATCGAGCTTGTTGTTTCCTATTATCATTTCAGGGTAGACACGCCACATATTGCTGAGGCCGTGAGGGTGGTTTGAGGGTGGTTTGCCATGCCAGATCTCACGGCCACATATTGCTGAGGGTGGTTTGCCAGATCTCACGGCCACATGTTGCTGAGGGTGGTTTGCCATGCCAGATCTCACGGCCACTATGGCTGCATTTCACTCGACTGTACGTGCTTGTACTGTACACTGTGTTCACGAAAAATTAGCCGAAGACTGAAAAAGTGTTCTTGAGTCACCATGCTTGTTACGCCTGAGCTATCACAGCCAATGTTCAAACCAGGGAGTGGGTATTGTACTACTCCCTGGTTCAAACACCTCTTCTGCAGAGCGCAAAGACCAGAGCGTCCCCCAAACCTGACAATCGTCCTTCAAATTTAGGGGTCTGTGCTGTGGAGGAGGGGGGGGGGGGGGGGGGATGGCCTTACTAGGAATATAGGTGCAACATGTCCAGCCGCAATGCCCGTAAGCAATGCCCGTTAGGCAAAGCTGGTGGAGATTTCTGTCTTACAAAAGGGGGTCTGTGGTTTTGGAGTCACACAGTAGCAGAAGCAGCTTTTGCACGAGTTGGCATAAATACCTTAGAAGAAACTCACCACTGGTGGGTTTAAGTGCTAAACTGCACTTAGGGAATAAGCTAACGAACAGGGGGGCAGCTAGCATGACTTCAAAGCTATATTTGAGCAACCTTGCGGACAAAGCTGCGAAGAAATCGTTTACATGCGGACACTTAGACACGAGCTCCGAACTGAGCGGAATCTCTGGCGTTCAGTGTTTCAGCTAGACAGGGATTGCAGTGCTTCAAGATGTGTAGGCATGGTGTAGTTCCATACCTGCCAACCTTTGCACACCTGAGATCGGGACGATGACATGCCTGTATTATGAAAAATGTAGCTGTGAGGCATGGGACAAACACACTTTTGTGTGCCTATTACCACCCTCGATATCGGGACGGTCCCGGCCAAACCGGTATGGTTGGTAGGTATGCAGTTCTCCTCACCACCTACCCAGTCAGGCGCGTCACGCTGTATCGCAAAACTCGCAAACAAAGCAGCTAGAGTTTGCCGCACCATGTCCGCAAAACTCCCAAAGCAGGATAAAAAGTAGTGGTGTGCACGGGTAGTCGGGTACCCGTGCCACCCGTGAGGACCTCGGGTAGACGGGTACAGAATAGTACCAGAAAAGTCGCAGATGACATCATGTACAGTGCACGTGTACCATGGTGTACAAATTCATGTAATACCAAGACGGCAAGAGTATACAGGGGGGTTATACTCTTGGTAATGCTCCGTATGCCTTCCATGGTCTACCCAGTGTGTGAAGGAAGGGGTGCAGTGTGGTGTTACCATGGAACCATTACCCGATCGGGTACTCAGTGTTGTCTATTCAATGTTGTCTATTCGGGTTTCCATTACGGTTCACACCAGAGATACCAGTTTATTAGAGTCTGTAAAGCATATATCTCACGGGACGAGGACAGAATTATTAGACATCAACATTAGGGAATGTATTCGACTTCTCATTAGGGCAAGGGTTCGACTACTGACTAGATTACCGAAGTTTGGTTATCTTAGAGTGAACTAGAATAGAATGTACGGTGTAATGCATGAGCGCGCCCATTTAGCTGGGCGCGCATTATTATGTGTATAGCCCGACTATGTACACTATAAAGGGATGTAATTAGATCAAATGTACGGTGGTTTTTATGTGCAGGGGCAGAAGGAGGGAAAACGGGCTACAAATGTGTATGGTACTAATTATTACATGCAGCGGCAGCGGGGAAATGGGTCAAATATGGTTATAAGTGTGTACGTACGAACTACTGCATGCAAGGAGGCTAGGGGTAGGGGGTAATGGAGTGTGTACGAATTACTGCATGCAGGGGTAGGGGTAGGGGGTAATGGAATGTGTACGAATTACTGCATGCAGCGCTAGGGGTAGGGGGTAATGGAATGTGTACGAATTACTGCATGCAGGGGTAGGGGGTAATGGAATGTGTACGAATTACTGCATGCAGGGCTAGGGGTAGGGGTAGGGGGTAATGGAATCATGCCGGGGTCGGGATCCAAATATGGGATGCGTATAACATCAGTACCCATGCTACCCGTGGAAAACTACTCGAACCCGACACCCGAAGAAAATGCTACCCGACTCAGCCCTAATTAAAGTTATCGCAAAGTGCCCGCATTAAAGGGGAAGTTCACCCTAAAATGAAAACTTCACAACTTGTAACGAAAACGCACATATTCCAATGGTGAAGGTCCCAGGTTGATCGGAGCAGCCGTTCCCGAGTTATACCAGCTTGAAGTTTGCACTAAATTTGGTGGCATCATGATGACGTCATCAACTTGTCTGGGGCACCACAGGCGGCCTACTCCTTCTCTCCCCCCCCCCCCCCCCCCCCACACACACACTTCTCTTTCAGGACCGACGTGACCCTCAGTGTGCCATTGGCTCAACAGGGCAGGGTGTGTATGTATATGATTGTGTGTATGAAACCTGCCTTTGCCGGACGCCCTTGGTGCGGCGGGAACTGTCCTGATAAGACAGAATTCCGCTTCATCCAGGGATGCTCGTTCAATACACAGTACTTTGGTTTCATGAAAATGTGGGCGGTCAATTGAGGATTTCGCTTGGCACAGGGTCTGGGAAACCGTGTATGTGTATGTGGGAGCTGGGGGAGGGAGAGAGTATCTTCATGCTGAAGTCATGCGCCACTTGCTCTTCTACCACTCCTGTCATATGACTGTGATGAGGACATCGAATTCCGCCTAAAGAACAGTGGAAGTCTCTGTAGATGCTCGTTTTGTGCACACTGAGTACCTGGATAGTAACCCAATCATACTGCACACATTGAGCAATTGCCACGGACAGCGCAACCTAATTACAAAGGCTACTCAAGAAAATATTGCTATTGTTACAGACACTTGCACATGTATTGACAATTATTGTATTTGCTCGTTCGAATTAATTTTGTATTTTGTTTCTCTCACCTTTCACTTTTCCCGAGTTGATCACGTACCTGCATGCTCCACTCTGCCGCAGTTAGAGGCAGCTACTCTACATGCAGTCGAGTCGATTCTATTGTGTATCTGCATGTCTCCTTGACAATATCTGTCCAGCTCTTAATAATTAGAATTAAATTCCTTCTCTCTTCTCTTCGATTTATCTATTTTCGCTTCTCTCAGTTATTTTTGTTTTGTTTGTATTTTGTACTTGTTTCGGTACGCTATCGCTCTATCTGCATGATGCGAGGCAGTTTATGGATGTCGTCACTCCTTGGGGCGCCGTGCCTGCACCTTTGGGGCGCAGTGCACCGGATGCGCAGTGACCTCTACGATGTACGCCAGAGCTAGGCATCTTTTTTGGCTGCATGTTTCCTTTTGCGTTGCCAGCTTTTCTGTTTGAAGCTACATGTACGCGTGTCGCTCTTTGCTTTTCAGAACTCTTGGAGTTGTCAGTTTTATTCCACTTTGTAAAGAACAAGTAATGGTTCGAAGGAAATCTTGTCTACCATGGCCACAGGGCCGCACCAGCTATGTTGACTTGTTATACAGACCCCCCTCCCCCAACATGGACTAGAGAGGCATCCAAAGAAATTTTAGTGCGCCCAGCGGTTATCACACTTTTCGAGATTCAAAAATACTGGGGAAAATCTCCACAAACCTTCATTGCATCATGTATATAATTATGAGCTTCCAGATCCGAAAAGGTGGTTTAAAGTAGTGCTGAGTCGGGTAGCATTTTCTTCGGGTATCGGGTTCGGATAATTATCCACGGGTAGCACGGGTACCCGATCGGGTAATGTGTTCATGGTAGCAACACAATGCACCCCTTCCTTTACACACTGGGCAGACATGCGGAGTATTACATGAATTTGTACACCACGGTACGCGTGCACTGTACTTGATGTCTTCTGCGACTTCGGGTTTTCGGGTACTATTCTCTACCCGTCTACCCGAGGTCCTCACGGGTAGCACAGGTACCCGACTACCCGTGCCCACCACTAGTTTAAAGCACCGGTTTTTGTTTCCTTTCCGTACTCCACTCATTCTCCTTCGTTCACTCTCTTCTTAATTTGTTTCTGGTTCATCTTCTCTCCCTACTTTATAAGTACAACTTTTCGTTAGGAATTAACTTTCACTATATTCGTTAGGGCGCACGAAATACCTAAAGTTTGTACCAAATTAAAGTTTTCTTTCTGAACGTTAGGGGAGACAGACCTCTACGAAAAACGAAATATAGTACGTAACAAGCCTGCTGGTGGAGTGATCTAACGAAAATTTGTATTGATACAGTATTTTCCTTTTGTATGTGCTGCATACGCAGATTGGGAGGATTGGAGAGACAGTGCCCATTTCCGGAAGAGACGCCAAGCTCTTAGCGGTACTGCTGACACAGTAGCCACGACTGCTCAGAATGACCAATGCTCGAAGATTGTCTACCGCGATACTAACACTTGGGTGGCGAGTTGCCCAGTTGGTAGTTATGGCACGGGAGCATACGGTGAGTGCCGTGGCTGCTCGGAGGAGTGTGCTAGCTGCTCAGATCGTACAGCGTGTACATCGTGTAAAAGCAATCTGCTCCTACAAGGTAATGCATGCCAGGACAAGTGCTCTAATGGATACGTTCTGCTACAACGCAACGTAGGTTCCAGTGTGAGTGTTCGACTTGTCGACAGTGCTACGTTCAACATGGCTACACTGTCAGCTCAGCAAGGACGACTGGAAGTCCGAGATGAGAATGGAAATTGGGGAACTGTCTGCAACAAGAGCTTTACTTTGACATCTGCTAATGTGGTGTGCCAACAGCTAGGTCTCGGCATGGCTTCAGCGCTCACAAGTGGACGGTACGCAATAGCAAAACGTGATGCGCCCGTAAATCTGGGCTATGTTAAGTGCACTGGACAGGAGAGTTCTATATTTGAATGTCCACTTAAGCGTCGTCAAGACACGCTGTGTACTCATTATGAAGATGTGGAAATTCAATGTGCTGGTCCAGACACTAGCAGATCATGTGTTGTACCAAGCTGTCCACGTGGATTCTACCTTGCTCAAGACAAGAATAGTGACATGACTATTTGCCAAGCATGTGATACTGGCTGTGCAAGTTGCAATGCTACATCTACTAACTGTTTGGAGTGTCCATTTGGGCGGTTTCGCAAGCCAACGGGGACAAACGGCTCAATCTGTGTAGCCACCTGCGGAAACGGCTTCTACGGGAATACTGTCGACAATCGTTGTCTACCCTGTGCTCAGTCTTGTAAGAATTGTGCTAACGGTGGAAACAGCAATGTGTGCACCAGCTGTGCAAGTCAACAATTCTTGAAGGATGGTAGTTGTGTGGCATCATGTCCTGATTGGGAGATTCGACCCACTACTCGACTACTGAACTCCACAGCGACACGGCTAAAAGGTCTCATCGAAGTCTATTACCAGGGTCAATGGGGACCCATTTGTCGTGCCCGCTTTGGGACGTTGGATGCCAACGTTGTATGTCGCTCTTTGGGCCTGGGACGTTCTCTCCGAAGTACGTACCGCAGCTCATCGTATGCTGGAAGCAATATCCCTGCTCGGTCTGGCGATGCCATGCTGTCCGAAGTGGCATGTATCGGCAATGAGACGGATGTCCGATCATGCTCTCACGGTGGATTTCAGAAGGATAACTGCCTTCCCCCGAGAGATGTCGTAATCCAATGCTCTGGACCGTATGTACCTCCGAGTGAACTTATACGGTGTGTCAAGCAATGCCCAGATGGAACATTTCAGGAGCGGCTAGACAGACTCTGCATTGCTTGTTCAGCTGATTGCCTCGGTTGCCGAGATCATGCTAGTGTGTGCACGA